GGCGCCGCCCGCCCGGAGCCCCAGCTGCGCGGCCCCAGGGACCCACCCGCCATGGGGGACGAAGATGAGGAGGAGGGCTGCGCGGTGGAGCTTCGGATCACTGAAGGTGGGCGAGGGGCCCGGTGATGGCTGGCCAGGCGGCCGGGAGGGGTCAAGGACTGGCTGTGCTCATTTCCCCCTTGTGCCTGCAGCCAATCTGACGGGGCATGAGGAGAAGGTGAGCGTGGAGAACTTCGAGCTGCTCAAGGTGCTGGGCACGGGAGGTGAGGATCCCGTCCACCTGGCAGGTGCCCCAGGCATGGTGCTTTGGGCCTCCTACTCACACACCCGCCGGGGCCTGGGTTAGGCCACTGGGGAGGCCTCCCACCCTTTCCCGGCACTGCCTGCCTTCCCCGCCCGGTCCTACGGTGCCAAGGTTTTGTCCCCACCTCCAGGGTGCTCCACTGCAAGGTGTATGCCTGTTCCCTGCTGGTATTTGCCAACCTCCTGGGGGCTTGCACCCCACCCAAGTGATTTGCACAGCTCCTCCCCTTCCCCTGAAGCGAGAGCCCCTTCCCACAGTTTGCAAACTTCCAGCCCCGGTTTGCACATCCCTCCTCCAGCCCGAGTGTGCCGCTGGCTCCCTTGCATTTGCATCCTTCCTCCTCCCTCTGATCTTTCTCAGGTTTGCACAGGCCCCACCCCCACCCCTGGCCTCAGGCCTCCTGGGTTTGCACATCCCTTCCTTGGTTTTGCTGAGCGCCCTCCAGGGCATGCACACCTTTTCCTTAGAAGGCTCTGCCCATATTTTGCACACCTGCCTCTCACTTCCACTTTGCACCTGAGTTGGCACCATCACCGCTCCCAGCAGTCTGCACCATTCTCCCACTCACAACCCACCCTCTGCCCGATCGCTGCTCCCACAGCCTACGGGAAGGTGTTCCTGGTACGGAAGGCGGGCGGGCACGATGCAGGGAAGCTGTATGCCATGAAGGTGCTGCGCAAGGCGGCGCTGGTGCAGCGCGCCAAGACACAGGAGCACACGCGCACGGAGCGCTCTGTGCTGGAGCTGGTGCGCCAGGCGCCTTTCCTGGTCACGCTGCACTACGCCTTCCAGACGGATGCCAAGCTGCACCTCATCCTGGGTGAGGGCACACATCCTGGCCTGGGGTGGGGGGAACACGGGAGCAGGCAAGGCCCCGGTCTGGGCCGCTCCTAACCTCCGTGGCATCCCCAGACTATGTAAGTGGTGGCGAGATGTTCACCCACCTTTATCAGCGCCAGTACTTCAAAGAGGCCGAGGTGCGTGTGTACGGCGGTGAGATTGTGCTGGCTCTGGAACACCTGCACAAGGTGGGTGAGGCCTGGCCTCCTGTCCGATGGGGTCTCCTCCTTGGTGGGGCTTTCCTCTCACAGGGAACTTGGGGCTGCCTCTTCTGAACTTCCTCAAATGGTGGCCTCATGTCTTGGCCCCCAAGGCCTCCTGGAACCAGGCTCTCACACACTCTGCTGTCCTTTCCCAGGGTTCTTGGGCCCTGTCCCGTGGGGCCCATTCTTGCTTTATATCATCAATGGCCTTTCTTAGCAAATGGCCCAGCTCTGACCCTGGCCCACTGTTGCCCCGGAGTCCCCTCTGTAGGCAGATGACCTCCTCCAGGGGTCTCCTGGGCCTGGTGCAGGGATGAGAGCTGTAGGGACTGGAGAGGGCCTTGGGGTGGAAGTCTCAGTGTCCCTCTTGTCCCTAACAGCTGGGCATCATCTACCGAGACCTGAAGCTGGAGAATGTGCTCCTGGACTCGGAGGGCCACATCGTCCTCACGGACTTTGGGCTGAGCAAGGAGTTCCTGACAGAGGAGGTGAGTGGGCACTGAGCAGGCTCCTTCCTGCCTGTCTCTTCCTGCTTGATGCTTGTGTTTGGGGCTGCAGTGTGAATAGACCCAGAAATTTCTACTGCTCGACCCTCCAGCTACATGAGTTGAATGAGTCCTGCTGTGAGCCTTGCGTGCCAGTAGGGCCGCCTATGGGAGGTTGGGAGGTACAGACCGGTCCTCTTGTCCTCCCAGAAAGAGCGGACCTTCTCCTTCTGTGGCACCATTGAGTACATGGCCCCTGAGATCATCCGCAGCAAGGCAGGGCACGGCAAGGTGGGTTGGCAGGGAGGCAGGGTGGGGTGATGGGAGAAGGTGAGGAGGCCTGGAACCTCACCAGGCCTGGCCCCACAGGCTGTAGACTGGTGGAGCCTGGGCATCCTGCTCTTCGAGCTGCTGACAGGTGCCTCACCCTTCACACTGGAGGGTGAGAGGAACACGCAGGCCGAGGTGTCGCGGTGAGCGGGGCCTTTTATGGAGGGCAGTGAAGGGCTGCCTGGGCTGGGCTGGGGTGGGGGCTTGCTGCCCCTGACACCCACCCATCCTCCCAGACGGATCTTGAAGTGCTCCCCTCCCTTCCCTTCCCGGATCGGGCCTGTGGCACAGGACCTGCTGCGACGGCTGCTGTGCAAGGACCCAAAGAAGCGGCTGGGTGCAGGTGCCCAGGGGGCACAGGATGTCAAGAGCCACCCTTTCTTCCAGGTGAGGTTGCTGCTGCTCTGGGTGGGAGGACGTAGGAGGGTTGGGCTGAGCTGAACCTGGCTAAGTTCCCTCTATAGGGAAGGCCCTGGCAATCAAAAAAGCAAGACTGTGTCAGTAGAGGCCATTTCCTCCCATATCCATCTCCAGGGAAGCTGGGAAAATACTTTCCTGGAGGAAAGAACCCGGGCTTCATTGGCTATCGGGCCTGACAGGGACTTGAGAAGAGACTGGTCATCCCTTTCACAGGACAGACCCAGAGAAGGCAGACCTGCCTAAGATGGCCCAGGAAATGGTACGGAGCCAAGGTCTGATCTCTAGATACATAGGTCACTTATCGGTCCAAATGAGCACTCAAAACTCCCACTCTTGTCTCCTAGCATCCACCCAGGGACTTCGCTCTTTCTCTTGCACAGTGTGTGTGCCTGGAGTTCACAGGGACCACTGGTCAGCCCACTGGGTGCCTGATCACCTGCTAAGTGCACACCCCTATGAGAGTATGCCGCACAGTAATCAGGCCTCACTGAGAGCCTGCTGGCCAGCAGCGCTGCCTAGCCGAACCCTGCGACCCTACCTACCATGGGTTGGTCCTTGGCCTACGCAGTTTCATTTTACCCTCAGCACCCGCCCCCACATAGTCCCCATCTTTGCTGATGCAGAAACGGAGGTTCAGAGAAGGTAAGTCGTTTGCCTGAGGTCACCCAACAGGTAGTGATGGAATTCTACCCTCAGGGCTAGGCAACTCCATGCGCATGCTCTAAGCCTTCCTGTGCTTCTGTTTATAAGCGAGCCTCACGTTTGCCGAGCTTGGTGTGGTAAGGGCATCCTCTTATCAGCCCTCATGTGGTCAGGTCCTCTGCACAGTCCTGAGTCTTCTGGTAGGTTTCACCCAGAAGGGCCTCTTAGGATGCTGTCTCAGACAGGCCTCAGTTTCCCACTGCGGCCATCCCTTTGCAGTCTGTGTGGAGTCACTGAGCTAGCTGGTCAGTGTCTCGTAGAGAATTCCTGGTGCCCACCCTGAGAGTGCTGAAAGTGGACTTACCGGTTATGCTGGAGAGGAAGGATTCCCTGCATCTGCCCGCTCTCTGGATAGCCTCTTTGGTGAGAGAGCAGAGCTGAGGTCCCTGGTGGCAGAACCGGGAACTTCAAGTCCAAGTCTGGCCTCTTGGGTGCAAGAGACAAAAAGTCCAACTCAAGGTGGAACAGCCACTGGGATGGAATAGGGGTGCCTGTAACAGAGATCAACTGGACACTGACCTGAAGAAGACACAGGCTTCTTTCTTCTTCTCATATAAAAGAAGCCCAGAAATTGTGGTATCTTCAGGAATCCGAGTTCCCTCTTTCTGCTTCTTTTTATATTCGTGCATGTTTGTGATACCTAATGAATACGCTCATGGTGGGGAGTTGGTATATCACATATCACATCTTAAATTCCACCCCCCGCCTTTTTTCCGGTACCGGGGATAGAACTCAGGACCTTGTGCTTGCGAGGCAGGTGCGGGCGCCACTGAGCTAAATCCCCAGCCCTAAACTCCTTTCTTTCCTTCCTTGCTTCTTTCTGTTCATCCTCCCTCCCTCTTTCTTAGGATATAGCCTTCATCCCCAGGGCTGCTCTGTGGGCCTCAATGGTTGCTGATCATGCAGGAAGTAGAAGGAAGAAGAAGGGCAAAAGGGCACTTAGCGGACCAGGGATGTAGCTCAGGGGCGCTGCACCTGCCTGGCAAGTACAAGGTCCTGAGTTCGATCCCTGGTACCGAGAAAAAAAGAAAGAAAGGAAGGAAGGAAGGAAAAAAAAAGAAAGAGGAGGGCACTTTACCACTCACCTCACACTCAAGGTTCTTCTCCTGGACTCCTACTTGACAATTTTTGCTTACAAGTTGTTGGGTACTCCTAGCTGCAAGGACATATTTGTAAAATAGTGTCTTTTAGTCGTGTATATTGGTGTCTGGAATAACATTGAGACAGTAGTGCCAATGGATACTGGGCAGATGATTAACAGATTCTGCCCTATTAGCTTAAACATAAAAGGGCATGTTTTCATCCCTGTAGTGAACTGTCCAGGGAAAAGTTTCTGACTTCAGAAGGCTGAGTCCAGGTGCTGAAATGATGTTTCCTGGTTCTGCTTTTGTGCATGGGGACCTCGTCATTAGATTTTAGGCGAGTCCACACCAGTTCCAGATCCACGTCTGCCCAGATTTAAGTCCGGTGGGAAAAAGAGATGTTTCTTATGCCAGTTCTTTTTTTTTTTTTTTTTTTTTTTTGGTACCGGTGATTGAACTCAGGACCTTGCACTTGTGAGGCAGGTGGCGACACCACTGAGCTGAATCCCCAGCCCTCCGTGTCAGTTCTATAACAAGTTCCAGAACTGTGTGGTAGAGTGGTGTTTGTCCAAGGGTAACGGGGACTCTGTTAGCAGAGGGAGGGAAGCAGAAGCTGTGCAGTGGGACAAGAAGAACAGAGCCATCTCTAATGCCGACGTGCCCCTTCCTTGCTGGGGTGCTCCTGGCGAGGGCCTGGAGTGGGGTGGGCTCTCCATTCCTACCCTTTGGCTCTCACCTCCGACTCCTTTTCTCCAGGGTCTGGATTGGGCTTCTCTGGCTGCCAGGAAGATTGCAGCCCCGTTCCGGCCCCAGATTCGCTCAGAGCTGGACGTGGGCAACTTTGCAGAGGAGTTTACTCGGCTGGAGCCTTTGTACTCACCCCCCGGAAGCCCCCCACCTGGGGACCCTCGAATCTTTCAGGTGAATGAGGACTCATGGAGCCCCAGATGCAGGATGCTGCTGCCTGCCTCTGTCCCGCTCGCTGGGGACACTGCAGAGGCCCTGTGTCTTTGAGACCAGCATCTACCCCAGACCTCTCCCCTTAGGGGTCACTGGAGCTGCCGGTCATGGAGGCTGCCGTGGTGGGGGCGTGTGTTTGATGGCTCAGTTTGTCTTTAAACTTCATCTTCATTTCCCTGTTCCATCATCTCCTTGAGGTTCTTAAAAATACTGTTTTCAACAAGTCACTTGCTTACATGGGCACTTGGGAAGAGGTGGCCTGTTGGTATTGTATACATTGAAGCCCCCCGTTTTGAGACAGGGTCTTGCTTTGTAGTTCAGGCTGGCCTTGAACTTCTGACAGTTCTCTTAGTCTCCGGGGTACTGGGATTACAGGTGTACACCAGCATGCCTGGCTCAACCTGTCAGACAAGACTCAGCTCCTTTGCTTGGCATTTGAGGTCTTCCATGATGTGGTCCTTGCTGGGTTTCCTAGCTTCAGGGCTCACTGTCAGCCTAAACCCATGCTCTGGAGGGCGCCACTGAGTGCCCAGAGGCCCAGGACATATCTCTGTGCCTTTGTACATGCTGTCCTCTCTACCTGGAATGCCCTCCCTGTGGTAGTCACCTGCCAAGCTCCCACTTGTTGATCAAGTGCCCCTGCTCACTCACCTGTCCCATTGGCTCACTCTCCCCTAATGTACCAGCTCTCTTCAGACAACACCTACACCGAGCAGTTTATCCTCTTATGTCTTGACTTGTCTGGCAATCCCCTTGGGTGGGGCCATGTGTCCCTAGACCTACCTGGTGGCCTGGCCTGCAGGACGTGGTCCATACATATTAAATAAGAACAGATCAATATCAAGGACGGGGTAGGTCAGTTTCCTCTGAAATTCAGAATTGACAACTCTGTACTCCAATTCCCTGGTCTAATAAGAAAGTTTATTTCTGTGAATCATTGGTTATTTTAGTCATTCATGTAATGATTCAAAAACATGTATTTAGGGCCCGTGCACATGCCTGTAATCCCATCTACTTGGGCAGCTGAAGCAGGAAGATCAAAAGCTTGAGGCCAGCCTGGGCAACTTAGTAAGAACCTGTTTCAAGTAATAATAAAAAGGGGTGGGGGTAAGGCTCACTGTAGAGTGCCTACCTAGCACTTGGGAAGCTCTAGGTTTGATCCCCAGCACCACAAAATAAACAAATTAACAGCCGCCTAAAACCCAGTTATGTGTACAGCATGCCAGGGATCAGTCTTGGCCAAATGCTGCCTGTGTGGTGCTTATGGTCTAGGGCACAGTGGGGTACATTTTTAGGGAAAAATAGCACACAGTTAAAATTATCCTTGAAAATTTCTGAAATTGCCAGAAGATAGATACTTAGGAAAGGCAAAGAATCGACTTTGTTTCTTTTTGTTTCCTCAGTAGCCCTGCCTTGTCGAGGAAGCTAACGTCTGGTTTGAAGGGGAAGAGTAAAGTTTTTTCCTCTTCTCCAGCAGACAAGGTTGAATTCTTTCTTTCTTTTTTTTTTTTTTTGGTACCAGGAATCAAACCCAGGACCTTGTGCTTGCAAGGCAGGCGGCAGCACTACTGAGCTAAATCCCTGGCCCAGGGTTGAATTCTTATAAGTTAAGTGTGGATGATGTCAGACCACAGTCCTTTCCTGCATCAGCCCATCATTTTCTGGGTCACTCGATTGTGCCAGGCATATTTTTGGGGGTCAGTGATGAGGGAACAGGCATGCCCCCTAGTGATGATAAGACAAAGTGGAATAAAATGTGTCCGCACTTCCTTTGCGTGCCAGGATTGCACCCCCAGCCCCAGGTCTGGGTCTCCCAGGGCTCCTCACCTGCAGGCCCACCCCCACCCCACAGGGCTACTCCTTCGTGGCACCCTCTATCCTGTTTGACCACAACAATGCAGTGATGACCGATGTGCTGGAGGTGCCTGGTGCTGGAGACCGGCCAGGCCGGGCAGCGGTGGCCAGGAGCGCCATGATGCAGGTGGGCTGGGCTGGGCCGGGGGAGGGTCTTTTTGTGTGGCTCCCAGGTGGGCCCTCTGATGCACCCCTTCGCCTCCAGGACTCGCCCTTCTTCCAGCAGTATGAGCTGGACCTGCGGGAGCCTGCACTGGGCCAGGGCAGCTTCTCTGTGTGTCGCCGCTGCCGCCAGCGCCAAAGCGGCCAGGAATTTGCAGTCAAGATCCTCAGCCGAAGGTAAGAGCTTGATGCTGGCGGCCTGGGTGCTTAGGCCAGGGTGGCCACACTGACCTGCCTGCTCCTGTGTTGCCAGGCTGGAGGCAAACACACAGCGTGAAGTGGCTGCCCTGAGGCTGTGCCAGATGCACCCCAATGTGGTGAACCTGCATGAAGTGCATCACGACCAGGTGACGGCTTCCCTGCTGGAGTGGACAGCAGGGACTTAGGAGAAGGCCTGTGTTTTGGAAAGAGGGCTAGTGTCGGATATGAGGACCTGTGAGGACCAGGGAGTAGTGAGATGTGGGACCTGAGGGGAGGAGGGCCTGAGGACTGGAAGGCAGGTTTGAGGAGGCCCGGGGCATCCTTGGGAGGTGACCATGGTCCTGTGTGTGCTGCCCCTAGCTGCATACTTACCTGGTCCTGGAGCTGCTGCGCGGAGGGGAGCTGCTGGAGCACATCCGCAAGAAGCGGCACTTCAGCGAGTCTGAGGCCAGCCAGATCCTGCGCAGCCTGGTGTCAGCCGTGAGCTTCATGCACGAGGAGGCCGGTGTGGTGCACCGCGATCTGAAGCCCGAGGTGGGAGTCGGCCCAGTCTTCGCAGGGGTGGGGCTGGAGGTGGGGGCTGGGGTCGCCTCTGACCGCCAGCTGGCTGCCCTCTCAGAATATCTTGTATGCCGAGGACACGCCTGGGGCGCCGGTCAAGATCATTGACTTCGGATTTGCCCGGCTGCGCCCGCAGAGCCCTGCGGGGCCCATGCAGACGCCCTGCTTCACGCTGCAGTACGCGGCCCCAGAGCTGTTGGCTCAGGGTGGCTACGACGAATCCTGCGACCTCTGGAGCCTGGGTGTCATTCTGGTATGGCAGATCCCAGGGGGACCCCGGAAGGGCTCCCGGTGCGCAGCAGTCCTGGGTAGGGGACCAGGTGGCTTTGGTAAGGGTAGCTGGGTTCCCTCTGAGGCTGGGATCCGGGTCTTCCTAATACGGAGGCAGGGTTGCCTTGGGCGGGGGCAGGCAGGACCCCAAGGATGGGTTCCCCTCATCTCGGTATCAGGAGCAAGGCAGGGCAGGGCAAATGGCTCTGCAGATGGCCCAAGGTCCATCTCCCCATCTCCCCCATCTCCCTAGTACATGATGCTGTCGGGACAGGTCCCCTTTCAAGGGGCTTCAGGCCAGGGCGGGCAGAGCCAGGCGGCCGAGATCATGTGCAAGATCCGTGAGGGCCGCTTCTCCCTCTCTGGGGAAGCCTGGCAGGGTGTGTCGGAGGAGGCCAAGGAGCTGGTGCGAGGTGCGGGGCTGGAGGCATGGGCGGGGAAGGGAGGCCCTGTGGTATCTGCTGTGGCAGGCGGGGGTCCTTGGGTCCCGACCCGTGTCCTGACTGAAGGTGG